TGGATCCAAGTATGTGGAGAGTGGGTGAATAGCTCTTGAAGATGCATCGAGAGAATGGGAAGCACAGAGGTGACATGGAGTGCTTAGAAGGGATATGAATAAAACCTTTTTAAACCCACCTTTCAAAAGATTCCCAGATCTAGTTTATAGTTCATGACCCTTCTGAGGGGCCATACAACCACATACTACTGGAAGATGGCCAAATTCCACAACGTGAGGGGGTGGGCTTGTTGTTGTGAGATTTCAACCTCCACAATAGGACTGGACAGGTCAGGAGTGCAGGGTGCAGGCTCACTACATGCATTTTTGTACGATATAAATGAAAATTGTTGGCACTAGGAATGAGGGTAAAAGCTCTGCAGTCAGATCCTCCCCGCCTGGGTTCTCTCTATTGATTTTTTCAACTGAGCACACCTCTGAGGTCCATCCACATCAGTGATCAGCATGCTTGGGAAAGTACAACCACGCAGATTAGAAAGAACAGTGCTGCCCACTATTTTTAAAGGACTCCAGAGTCACCCAACTTCACCACAATCTGGGTCATTGCTTTTGGTGTTTGCCAGAAGCTCCATTCCCTAGTGACTGACTCCATCTCTGCCTTTGGTAACTTTGTGACACTAAACAAGACTTGGTTCAAAACATGGCCTCATATTTGATGCTGATGGGAATTTCTGACCACACCATCAGCAAGACTGCCTATTTATATGTCTGTAATGTGGACTGACTTGATTCCTATTTCAGCTGAGGTACTGCGGAAACCCATAACCTGGTTAGTTGTTGACCTTTTCTTCCAACATACCCTGACCTGTCTCTTATTTTCCATTCTTGAAGTGTTTTGACTTTCACCAATTCCATTCCTCCATTACTCTTGTATCCGCAGATCTACATTGGTTTCTGATGGTCAAGCAATGTCTCAACTTTAAAATTTTCATCTTTGTTTTCAAATCCCTTCATATCTCTGCAATCACCACTAACCTGGCAACATTCCTCCAGTTCTGACCACTTCCATATTCCCTTTGTAACTGCGCCATCACTGGTGGTTTTGCCTTCAGTTGACTACAGTAATGTGGTTGACACTCAACTCCCCTCTGGGCAATTAAGGATAGGCAGAGCCCTTGTCCCGTGAATGATTGATTAAATACCGGCAAGGAACACAAGCTCCCTAAAATGCACCCCTTATGAGGTTGACTAGGTCCTTTGGACCTCACACTCCCTAAGTTTCTCTAGCTCACTACTGCATCTTCTTCTTTCACAGCTGTCCTTAAATCTTACATCTTTGTTTGAAATGTGTCAGGGCATCCATCCTTATGGTTCTTACAATAAAACAAAACAGGGTTAGCAAACAGGGTTAAGGAAAATCCCAAAGCTTTTTATTCATAGATAAGTAGCAAGAGAGTAACGAGAGGTAGGGTTGACCCACTCAAGGACAAAGGAGGGAAGTTATGCGAGGAGTCAGAGAAAATGAGTGCGATTCTTAATGAGTACTTTGCATCAGTATTCATCAAGGAGAGAGACATGACGGATGTTGAGGTTAGGGATAGATGTTTGATTACTCTAGGTCAAGTCGACATAAGGAGGGGGGAAGTGTTGGGTATTCTAAAAGGCATTAGGGTGGACAAGTCCCCAGGTCCGGATGTGATCTATCCCAGGTTACTGAGGGAAGCGAGAGAGGAAATAGCTGGGGCCTTAACTGATATCTTTGCAGCATCCTTGAGCATGGGTGAGGTCCCGGAGGGCTGGAGAATTGCTAATGTTGTCCCCTTGTTTAAGAAGGGTAGCAAGGATAATCCAGGAAATTATAGACCGGTGAGCCTGACGTCAGTGGTGGGGAAACTGCTGGAGAAGATACTGAGGGATAGGATCTATTTACATTTGGAAGAAAATGGGCTTATTAGTAATAGGCAGCATGGTTTTGTGCAGGGAAGGTCATGTCTTACCAACTTGATAGAATTCTTTGAGGAAGTGACAAAGTCGATAGATTAGGGAAAGGCTGTAGATGTCACATACATAGACTTCAGTAAGGCATTTGATAAGGTTCCCCATGGTAGGCTGATGGAGAAAGTGAAGTCGTATGGGGTCCAGGGTGTACTAGCTAGATGGATAGAGAACTGACTGGGCAACAGGAGACAGCGAGTTGTAGTGGAAGGGAGTTTCTCAAAATGGAGAACTGTGACCAGTGGTGTTCCACAGGGATCCGTGTTGGGACCACTGTTGTTTGTGATATACATAAATGATCTGGAGGAAGGTATAGATGGTCTGATTAGCAATTTTGCAGATTGGTGGAGTAGCAGATAGTGAAGGAGACTGTCGGAGAATGCAGCAGAATATAGATAGATTGAAGAGTTGGGTGGAGAAATGGCAGATGGAGTTCAATCCAGGCAAATGCGAGGTGATGCTTTTTGGAAGATCCAATTCAAGAGCGAACTATACGGTAAATGGAAAAGCCCTGGGGAAAATTGATGCACAGAAAGATCTGGGTGTTCAGGTCCATTGTACCCTGAAGGTGGCAACGCAGGTCGATAGAGTGGTCAAGAAGGCATATGGCTTGCTTTCATTCATTGGACAGGGTATTGAGTACAAGAGTTGGCAGGTCATGTTACAGTTGTATAGGACTTTGGTTCAACCACATTTGGAATACTGCGTACAGTTCTGGTCGCCACATTACCAAAAGGATGTGGATGTTTTGGAGAGGGTGCAGAGGAGGTTCACCAGGATGTTGCCTGGTATGGAGAGCACTAGCTATGAAGAGAGATTGAGTAGATTAGGATTATTTACATTAGAAAGACAGAGGTTGAGGGGGGACCTGATTGAGATCTACAAAATCATGAGAGGTATAGGCAGGGTGGATAGCAAGAAGCTTTTTCCCTGCGTGGGGGACTCAATTACTCGGGGTCATGATTTCAAGGTGAGAGGGGAAAATTTTAAGGGAGATATGCGTGGAAAGTTCTTTACGCAGAGGGTGGTGGGTGCCTGGAACGCGTTGCCGGCGGAGGTGGTAGAGGCAGGCACGATAGCGTCATTTAAGATGTATCTGGACAGATACATGAATGGGCAGGGAGCAAAGGGATACAGATCCTTGGAAAATAGGCGACAGGTTTAGATAGAGGATCTAGATCGACGGAGGCTTGGAGGGCCGAAGGGCCTGTTCCTGTGCTGTAATTTTCTTTGTTCTTTGTTCTTCCTTGTTCAAAAGCAAAAAACCATGGTGCTGGAAATCTGAAACGCTGGAACGTTTAGCAGGTCTGGCAGCAGCTGAGGAGAGGGAAAAAGGCCAGGCCTGTGACGTTTTGAACAACATAAGGGGTGCATTTTAGGGAGGGTGTGTTCCTCACCTGTATTTATTTATTCATTCACGGGACGAGGGCTTTGCTCTTCCTAATTGCCCAGAGGGCTGTTAAGAGTCAACCACATTGTTGTGGATCTGGAGTCACATGTAGGCCAGACCAGGTAAGGATTGCAGTTTCCTTCTCTAAAGTGCATTACTGAACCAGATTGGTTTTCCCCCTGACAATCGACAATGGATTCATGCTCATCATTAGACTCTTAATTTCAGACTTTTTAAAATTGAATTCAGATTGCACCATCTGCCATGGTAGGATTCAAAACCTGGTTCCCAGAACATTATGTGGGTCTCTGGATTAACAGTCCAGCAATAATACTACTGAGCCATCTCCTCCCCGCTATAGTATCCACTATAGAAAAGTTAATCTGCAGGACAGTGACTTTAAATTTAGTTTGCTTCACAGCAATAATATGCCAAAAGTGGCATTAATGATTAGACAGTGTCACATCCCTCTTACTGTGTTTCTCCCTCTCGTCCCCCCATCTCCGCCAAAATTAAAAGTGTCACCTCAAGAACAGGGCAGTCATAAATCTTGATTGACTCTCAGTGGTCATGAGAGAAGCAGAAAGGTAGGGTGGTACCATCTTGGAGAATTGTCTCTGATGAACACGGGATCGCCAATAGAGGTGTGGCCCTTTCTGCTTTTACCTTTCAGATAAACCTGTGGAGTACTCAACTGCCAATTTCAGAGCCCCAAAAGGCCTAAGAGAAGGAGGGTGGTTGGTGCCTTTCCCCCAGTAATATAGGGATGATACCTGTGAGTGGGTGGGGAAGTGGGTGGGTTGGGCTCCTCTCCGCCCCCATTTTAGTTTAGTTCAGCCGCTCTCCCCACCTTCAAAGGTGCTGATGTCGAGCTGTAAAATTCATTGGATTGGTGCCAAGTCTTGTTTATCACTGTTCCTGTGCAACGCTTTGGTCCATTTTGCTATTTGAGAGATGCTAAATGAATGAATGTTATTGTTGTTCTATAGTTAAACTTTATTTTCCAAATAAAACTTAAAATTTCTTAATTAAGGTTAAATCTAACATTGTCGAGCTTGGAGAAATTTTCCAAAAACAGTTTATTTATCTTTTGAGAATAGCCTGAATGACAATTTTGCAGTCAACTTAAAGCATTTGAAACTGAGCTGATCATATCTTTCGGAGATACCCATTCAATCTGTGATGCATAAAAAGGCTGGAGGAATTCTGCAAAATGAGTCTATTTATCACTGGTGTCTAGCAACGGACAAGTCTGCCATCACCTGCAGTGCCTGAAAGGTTAACTCAATGGTTTGAGAAGCGTTTAGTCCCTTCAACAGATTTTCATGATCACACATTTGATATTTCTCAGCATTGAAAATAAAAGTTACATTTTAGATGTGTGAAGCTGAGAACTAGCTGTCACTTTGTGCAAGAAATGGAACGTCAAAGGAACAGTCATATGGTAAGTAGTCTGCTTCTCCTTCAAAACGACAGGGACTTCCATTGTTCCCAAGAAAGATTGCTGAATGTAGTAATTTGTTTATAATAGGCATTGCAGATGTTGCACACTTTTTTTGGAGAGGAAGACTGGGTAAGTTTTCCTCTCTCTCCTAACCACTACTTTGTCTGCAACAAAATGTGTTTCAAGGGGATCATTTAAATCTTTTAAGTGCTCTGGTTTTCAGTAATAGGCATGAAGCAGGCTTTCAGGTAAGTTTAACTCAAAAGAAAGGATAATGTTCCAAGAATATCTGTTGACACCCTGAAAATGCTCTCAGTCTGCAAATGCAAAATGCACATGAGTGGCACCCTGCCGCTGAGGAAGGGTCACCGGACCTAAAACATTAACTCTGACTTTTTTTCTTCACAGATGCTGCCAGACCTGCTGAGCTTCTCCAGCAACTTCTGTTTTTCTTCCCGATTTACAACATCTGCTGTTTTTCAGTTTTTACCCTGCCAGTGATGTCACTCCGTCCTGTTCGCTCATATTGTTTGTGTTTATATGCACAATATCATGTATATAAGGGTGCTTCACAAAGTGTGCATGCACAGACCAGAAGACCATTAGACATAAGAGCAGAAACAGGTCATTTAGCCCAATGAATCTGCTCTACCATTCAATGAGATCTGGTAGTCCCCAGCTCCTCTCTCCCGCCTTTTCCCCATAATTTCTGCAAGATGGTGGCAGAGTAAGATGCTCCAGCCAGAGCTCCTCTGCTCCACCCATTCTTTTTCACTTTTATTCTCGTTTTCTGTGTTTCAATTTTCAACTTTTGACTTATCCAGAGGGGAATGGAGGAGGCGATTCCAGAGCAGAGGGTCCCAGAGGCAACTCAATGGAGCAGAAGCCAGTGCGGGGATGCAGTCTAGAGCGGAGGCTGGCAAGGGGAGGGAGTCCCGGAGCAGAGGCTGGCGCAGGAAAGGAGTCCCGAAGCAGAGGACAGCACAGGGAGGGAGTCCCAAAGCAGAGGACAGCACAGGGAGGGAGTCCCGGAGCAGAGGACAGCGCGGGGAGGGAGTCCCAGAGCAGAGGACAGCGCAGGGAGTGAGTCCCGGAGCAGAGGACAGCGCCGGGAGTGAGTCCCGGAGCAGAGGACAGCGTGGGGAGTGAGTCCCGGAGCGGAGGCTAGCAAGAAGGGGGAGTCCCGGAGCAGAGGCTGGCAAGAGGACGGTGTCCCGGACCAGAGGACAGCGAGGGGAGGAAGTCCAAGAGCGGAGGACAGCGAGGGGAGGGAGTCCCGGAGCAGAGGACAGCGAGGGGAGGGTGTCCCAGAGCGCAGGCCAGCACATGAAGGGAGTCCTGGAGAAAACTGACCTTGAAGCAGCTGAGAGGCGGTGCGGAATGGACTGGAGGCAAGGAGTGGAGTGGAGCAGGGAGGGTTGTTGGTCTGGATCTGTCGTGGGTGGTCAAACCACGTGTGGAAGCCCTTGTGCTGAGCTACTACAATATAATGTTTATTTGTAATTTGTTTATGTGACTGTAATGTCTATCCTTTCAACTGTGTCATATTTCTAACTTATACTATGAATTCACTGTAAAGTAATGCAACTACTTTTCTTTTCTATTCCTCTTTTGTAAGTAAGAATTGTACCTAGGTACTTTGTACCCAAGATGGCGCCATAAGAGGTGACTTTGTAAACTTTTCACTGTATTCCTGTACTTCTGTACTTGAGTACATGTGACAATAGAGGATAATCTAATTCTAATTCTAATTCTAACCCTTGTGGTGGAAAAACCATTAGACTTAAGAGCTAACAAGGCCCACCAGTGTCTCAGATGAAGTGGCTGCAGAGAAAGGTAGCATGGATTATAATTTTCGAAAGTTTCTTATATTCTGGAATGGTCACATCAGATTGAAGAATAGTTAATGTAGCAGCACTATTCATAAAAGTAGGGAGGCAGAGGTAAGAAACTATTGACCTGTCAGCTGAACAGAGAGAAATTGCTGTAACTGAGTATTAAGGAGAGTATGGCAAAATACTTAGAAAATCATAATCTGATCAGGTAAAATATTTTGCTTCTGTGAACCATGGATGGGAGAAATATTTCCTGCCTCTGTTATCTCCCCGCAAAAATAATTGGTTTTATGGATGGGACTTCCAAAATCTAGACTCTGGCATCAATTTTTCTAAGACAGAGTTTCTCTGGGAAAATGTGGGCATTGTTCTTTGATTGTTTGACCTATATGCTGACTTCAAATCACAATTAGGTTGAGATTAGCCTCATTTGTTTCATCATGACTTTTACAATTGCTATGGATTTAAATCCATTCCCTAAGATATTGTTTTTGCTTCCTCATCTGTGCTTTTCTTCCTGGGCTCCAGACCAAATAGCGTACCCTAATCCTCTGTTTGAAAAACCTTGTTAAAGCCAATGAACAGAGATTCACCCCTTCATGAGATAAATGTGTAAGGGCAGAAACTGGTATCCAATTAATCTTATCACAGACAAAATCACACAAACTGCTAATCCCACTGTTGGTTTGGAGACACCTGTCGATATTCTTATTTGCATGCAGTTCACTTTAACCCTAATTCATGTTGCTTTACAGCAATACCGCTACTACAGACACTGCTGGACCTGTATTAAAGCCCAGTGGCTGCTGTTCAGCTATTCTCATATCAGTTTGGAAGTAACCAAACTCATTGCCACCATGAACATCTTGTGGATTGTTTCATGGTGCAGTATTGAAGGAATGCCACATTGAAAAATGTGCTGTCCCTCAGCTGGAATGAAAAAGTAAGGTCTTCAAATGATGCAGGTGATTATTAAAGATTCACTTGCACTATTTAGGAAATAGGGGTTTCCATCAAACCCAATTCCAACATCTGGGAAGGAGTAGAGCAGTCAGGGAGCCCAAATTTAAGGCAAACATTGTAGCTTTCCACAGCATGAGAGCCAGGATAGTGTAATGTCCTTAACCCCATTATTCTCTTGCCTATACCTAGCTTTTGGGTGCGAGCAGGGTTCAGAGCTGCAGGAGATTGCTGCCTGTGACCTGATGGAATGGTTCTCTGGAAGTTTTGAAGAAAATGGTTTCAGATTAGGTTTTTCTGCCATGCGAAGAATGTAACTACAAGTATTCATATTTACAAAACAAGGAAAACAAATGGAGATACAATTTGCAGTTTGAACAGGTTTTTTTTCCAGAAGGGGTGTTCAATAAATCCAAGAAATTAACTGTATAAGGAATGGGAAAAGAAAGTTTAATGGGTTTCAACATGAAGATAGATAGACCCCTATCCATAAATAGGAATCAAGATTCTTAGAAATGTGCTCATGAAACTCTGTGGATACATGGGTTTGTTGAAGCAATCACCTCCTCTTGCCCAAAACTATGATTATGGGCTTGATATGTTCACTTTGTAAGTTGGGAAGGTAAAGCAGTTGGATGGGAAATCTGAGATCAGGTTTCCCTGCATTGCTATGCGCAGGGGTTTTTTGCTCATAGTATGTGTCATTGTTTTCCTACTGGATCCCTGTCTGGAAGTCAGCCTGATTCAAAGGCTAGACTCCCTGTCAGGCAGGGAATGCTTGTGCTCCTGCGCTCTCCTCTGGAGCATTGGTTCAGCTAAATCCTGACCCTAGCAGGATGGTGCTGCAATGGTAGGGTTGGATGCAATGGCAGAGAAGTGGGTAAGTTTAATGTTCCAGGGAAGACTCCTGTTCCTCTTGCCATACAAGTAGTGCTATAAGTGCATGTAACTTTTCTGTGAATATAACCTAAATAGCTTTGAGCTGCTGGCTTTCACAAATCCTGAGAAAACCTGCTGGTCTTGTTGGATTGTGAGACTCCCTGCATCATTATAATATTTAAATTGACCTTCCGCTTCTTGGACAGTTTTTTTTTTATTTTCACCATTGTCCCTCCTCTATTACAACAGAATGTGATAGTTTAGGATTTGGTTTGAGATCATAAAATATTTTTATATCTGAGCCTCAATAACCAAAAGATTATTGGGGACATGCAGGATTGTAGAGTTGAAGTGTATATTAGATCAGCTTGACCTTATTGAATGGTGGAGCAGACTTAAAGGGCCAAGTGGCTTACTCTTGTTCCGTGTTCAATCATGCATATGACCCAACTCCAGTTCACCCTTTTTTGAGGTATTACAATTATCTCCAATGTTATTAGGCTTTATAAAGGAGAAATAATATTTAACCAAATTATTAGACTTTTTCGAGGGACTAATGGGCTGTGGATAAGGGGGAGCCAGTAGACTTAATGAACCTGCATTTCCAGATGATATTTGATAAGGTGTTACATCAATGAAAATAAAAGGTCATGGTATAATGGGTCAAATGTTAATATGGACAGAAGATTGGCTGGCTGACAGAAAACAGAGAGAATGTATAAATGGGTGTGATTGGCAGGATGTGACAAATGGAGTCTGAAAGGAGTATGCGCTGGCTTCTCAAATTTTTACAAGTTACATCAATTACTTAGACGAAGGGAGCGAAAGCACAGTATCAAAATTTGCAAACAACACAAAGGTAGGTAAGGAAGTATTTATTTCTGAAGATGACATAAGGAGTTTTAAACATGGATATAGATAGGTTGAATGAGCAAAATCTGACAGATGGAGTATAATGTGGGAAATGACAAATTGTTCACTTTGGCAGAAAAAAAAGCAGCTTACCTAAATGGAGAATGGCTGCAGAAATCTGAAGTGCAAAGGGATTTTTGTGTTCTGGTACATACATCACAGTATGTTTGTATGCAAGCACAGCACATAATCAAGAAGGCTAATGAGATACTGTCCTTTATTATCAGAGGAGTTGAACACCAAAAGTAAAGACTTATTCTACAGTTCTTCAGAGCATTGGTGAGACTACTTCTCAAATACTATGTACAATTTTGGTCTCCTTTTTCAAGGAAGGATATAAATGCATTTGGGGTGGTTCAGAGGAAGTTTACTGGAGTGATATGTGGAATGAATAGGTTATCTAATGAGGATAGTTTGGAAATACTGTTTTTTTTTCCGCTGGAGATTAGAAGAATTAGGGGTGACATTTTTGAAGTATGAAGGAACATAGGAACAGGAGTAGGCCATTCAACTCATTGAGTCTATTGTGCTATTTAATGTGACAGTGGCTAATCAAGCTCTTCAATGTCTTTTATTCACACTATCCGCATAATTGTTTCTGTCATTGTTAATGAGTAATCTATCAATCGCTGCTCTAAACATATCCAAAGACTGAGCTGCCACAGCCTTCTGGGGTAGAGAATTCCAAAGATTCACACCCCTCTGGGTAAAAAACGTTCTGCTCGTCTAAGACCTAAATCCCCTTTATTATTAAATTGTGCCCCTGGTTCTAAACTTCCCAACAAGGAGCAACATCTTACCTGCAGCTACTATGTCTACACCTTTAAGTATTTTGTAGAGTTCAACTAAATCACAACTCACTCTTCGAAACCTGAGGGAATATAGGCCCAGGTTGCTCAATCTGTCTTCTTAGCACAGTCCTGCCATCCTAGGAACTAGTCTAGTGAACCTTCATTGCACCCCCTCTATGGCAATAATATGCTTCCTGAGGTAAGAAGACCACACTTGCACACAAAAAGGTGCAGTCTAACCAAGCTACAAGCAATTGAGACAAGACTTCACTACGCTTGTATTCAAATCTTCTTGTGGCAAGGCTAGTATTCCATTAATTAACTAATAGCTTGCTGCACCTGCATATTAGCCTTTAGTGACTTATTGACAATGACATTTGGATACCTTTGTATGTCTAGATGTACAGCTTCTTACCATTTAAGAAATGGCCCTCTGACTTTACGAGTAGACAGGAAGAATGTTCCTGATGACCAGGGAGTCTAGAACCAGGGATCACAGACCAAAGATATGGAGTAGCTCATTTACGGCTGAGATAGGAAAAATTTCTTCACCCAGTGATGGCGAGCCTGTGAAATTGTCTCCCACAGAATACAGTTGAGGCCAAAACATTGAATGCTTCAAGAAGTGGTTAAATATCATTCTCGGGGCTAAAGGGATCAAAAGGTACGGGGAGAGAGCAGGAACACGGTACAGAGTTGAATGATCAGCTATGATTACATTAGCCAAATGGCTTACTCCTGCTCCTATTTTCTATGTTTCTAGATACTCTGCATGTTTGTTTCTCCGACCAAAATGGATAACCTCGCATTTTTCTACATTATAAGACTGTAAGGTTGTAACAAGATGGTCGTGGAATGAATGTTTTCTCTTGTGTGCAAGTTCAGAACTAGGGGACACTGATTTGAAATTTGGAGTTGTCATTTTAGGATAGAGATAAGGAGAATTATTTTTCCTTTAGGAGGTCATGTATCTTTGGAAAGCTGTGCCTCAAAAGGCAGTGGAGTTTGTGCTCTTGAATATTTTTAAGACGGGGTAGACAGATTTGTGTTAGGCAAGTCGTAGAGTTATACAGCACGGAAACAGACCCTTCAGTCCAACTCGTCCATATCAACCAAGGTTCCCAAACTAAACAAATCCCACCTGCCTGCATTTGGCCCACATCCCTCCAAACCTTTCCTATTCATGTAACTACCCAAATGTCTTTGAAATGTTGCAGCTGTACCTGCATCTACCACTTCCTCTGGCAGTTCATTCCACATTTGAACTACATTCTGTGTGAAAAGGTATACCTCAGGTCCCTTTTAAATCTTTTTCCTCTCACCTTAAAAATATATCCCCTAGTTTTAAACTCCCCCACTGTGGGGAAAAGACCTTTGTTATTTACCTTATCAATGCCCTTTATGATTTTATAAACCTTTACAAGGTTTATAAAACAACCTTTACCTCAATCTCCTATGCTCCACTAAAATAAAAGTCCCTGCCTATCCAGCCTCACCTTATAACTCAATCCCTCCAGTCCTGGCAACATCTGGTAAGTCTTTTCTGAACCATCTCCAATTTAATAATATCCTTCCTAAAACAGGGTGACCAAAACTGTACACAGTACTCCAAAAGTGGCCTCACCAATGTCCTGTACAACCTCAACATGATGTCCCAACTCCTGTACTCAAAGACCCGAACAATGAAGGCGAGTGTGCTATACGCCTTCTTAACCACCCTGTCTACCTGTGATGGAACCTTCAAAGAACCATGTGGCTGAATTTTTAGGTCTGTCTCTGTTTGACAGTAATACCAGGTTGTGTGGAATAAATAGGAACGTTGAATTCAAAGCACGTACAGATCTGCTGAGATCATATTGAATAGTGGAGCAGGCTCGAGTGGTCTACTTCAGCTCCGATTTTGTTTATTCATTTTATATCAGTGAAATTAGACAAATAACACTTCCAATCTACATTAGCCTCTTTGAACGTGTTCAAGAGATGAGAAAATCTGATTCAATTAAATATGAATTAAGCCTATTATTTGTTGCTGAGTATTACCAAAGATGCCTGTTAACAATATTAATTTATATATAAAATTAGCATTATCCAGTTCACGCCTTTTATGCATTTAATTTTCAGTGGTAATGCATTGGTTAATATGGTACAATAGAAGGTCCTTGTCTACTATTTAGATTTACTTTTTAATCAGTTTGCATTAAAAGAAGAACTTTGGTCTATTGAAGAGACTTTCAGAAATGTTTTTGTTCTCTGCTTTCACTTCATTTCGTGCTCAACAGAATCTAGGAGCTTTTCTGGAATTAAAACATGTCTTTCATGCTGAATGTCAGACATCAAGAATTCACAGACCAGGATGCAGAACAAATCTCACTATAACTAGTCCTTATAAAGTAGCTTTAACCTGAACTTCAGAAGCTTAGCAGCGTTTGCACGAATGCAACATTTCCATCCCCACATCAGCTTTCTTTATGATTTCGTTGAATGTGATTGCTAAATTATTTCCAGATTATGGTGAATTGTGGACAAGTTTTGTTTTGTGTATGTTTGCAAAATTAGTAACGTTGTAACACTATGAACTAGTTGAAGGTAAGGCCTTTACACTGACCAAAGAGATTTCTTTCTTGGAGAGAAATGGAAGGTCACAATGGAGTCCAATCAATCATATTATGACTTAGATGGTCAATACTTGATAGACAAATGGATTTTTCCTACTTTGGGATTTCTTGCTACTTTTTGTACCAAAAACCTTATCCAAATTAGAACTCAAGCGGCATGTTGAATTGAATTGAATTAGCTTTATTGTCAGTACTCAAATGAGTACAGTGAAAAGTTTATAAGTAGCCACCAACACCGCCATATTAGGTACAAAAGTACCTAGGTACAATCTTTAGTTACGGAATAGAGACATGAAGAAAAGAAAGTCAGATTACAGCTATACACATTTAGGTCAGAAAAATAAGAAGCAAAGTTAAAAAGACAAACTTCACAGTCTCTCTCCAAAGTCTCTTTGCAGCAGACCCACACACAGGGCCTCCATGTGGTCTGAATGCTGACTGCCATCATGCTGGGCCGTTACCCCCATGGTCTGAAGTGGGCCACTGGTCACTGGTGTCCCTGCTCCAGTTGCTTGTCACCAATATCCTCACTCCAGCCACTAACTGCCGATCCCTGATGCTGCTTCAGAGGCCGGGGCTGGGTGTCCGAGGCTGATTGAAGGAAAAGAAGGGAGGAGAGAGGGAGAAAAAACAAAGAAGAAGAAAAAGAATAGACAGAGCAGGGGAGTTCCAACTGGAATGCCCTGCTGTGCTACCATCATTTGAAATTGCATCAAACTACTAAAGGAGTCATTCCTCTCAATAATTATCTACCCTAATACCCAAATTTTTTCAGTATTTTTATTGCATCTTGCAGTCAATTCTTGCAATGTTCTACTTTGATACTCATGGTCGAACAATAATTAAGGAAAGACATTATGTCTAGATGTCTCCCACGTTGTAACAGTGCAAAACTCTGCTCCACTGAAAGCAATAAAACAAATGCTCCAACCTCTTATGATGTCATCAATGTAATGTCAAGATTTTGACTTTCATCCATCAAGTTTTAGGCATCTATAATAAATATCAACTTCTTTATTTCTAGGTCCACTGAGGTTCATCTCGCAGACGAAGTCAGTTTCTGCTTATGCAGGAGACATTGCCCTACTGAAATGTGAAGTTATCGGTGAACCCATGCCTTCCATTCACTGGCAGAAAAACCACAATGATCTGAAGTTAAGTGCTGAGGACACCCGTGTGTCTGTTCTCCCCTCTGGATCATTGGTAATCAGTAAGCTTCAGGCAGAAGATAGAGGGTCCTACCGTTGCCTGGCAGAAAATCCTGGAAGCTCAAGGACTGGAAATGATGCTGAGCTTTACGTTTTGTCTGGTAAGAATTATGGTTTCTGTTAAATATGCTGCAAAACAGAATATATTTCCACCATTTAATTTGCCTGACTTACAAGATGGAAATGTAGAACTTCTCACTTTAAGCAGCTGCAGGTAAATTACTCTTCACAAATATGAAGGGGCACATTTTTTTTCTTCATTACTAATTGTGCACATAAGAAGTGATTGTATTTAGCATGACCTGTTAGGCATACAACAAATTGCGCAGTAAAACTGTTAATCAGCAGTACTCTTACAAATATATGAATTAAGAGCGGCAGGATGTCCTGTGGCCTTTCGAACCTGCCCCACCATTCCATAAGATCATGACTCGTTTAGTACTCCACCATTGGTAGAGTTGTTAGAGGGAGATCCTGTGTGTCTAATTTAATTGAGTTTTTTGTAAAGGTTAATAAATATATTGATGAGGGTGGTGCAGTTAATGTGGTTTATGTAGCCTTCAGTAAGGCCTTTGACGAGGTCCCACATGGAAGGCTGGTCCAAAAGTTAAAAGAGTCCATGGGATCCTAGGTAAGTTGGCAAACTGCCTTACAAATAGGAGACAATGGATGACAGTGGATGGATGTTTTTGTGATTAGAATCCTGTGACCAGATTGTGATTACAATCCTGTGTACCACAGGGATCAGTATTGGTACCCTTGCTATTTGGTATGTACCTTAACAACTTGGATGTGAATGTAAAAGGTATAATTAGTAAGTCTGACACAAAAAAGTAGTGGCAGTGTTGATAAAGAGGAGGATGGTCTCAGGCTACAGTCTGATACTGATGACCTGGCAAACTCAGCAGAGCAATGGCGGATGGAATTAATCATGATAAGTGTGAAGTGATGCATTTTGGGAGGTCTATATATTGCAGGATACATGCAATTGGGGGAGGTCGTGCCTCACGAACTTGGTCAAGTTTTTTGAGCAGGTGACAAAGGTGATTGATGAGGGAAAAGCAGTTGGTGTTGTATACATGGACTTCAATAAAGTCTTTGACAAGGACCCTCATGACAGACTGGTAACAAAGGTGAAGTCACTTGGTATCAGGGTGAGCTGGCAAGTTAGATACAGAACTGGCTTAGTCATAGGAGACAGAGGGTAGTGGTTGAAGGATGCTTTTTGGAATGGAGGGCTATGACTAGTGGTGTTCCACAGGGATCAGTGCTGGGACCTCTGCTGTTCGTGATCTACGTAAATGATTTGGAGGAAAATGTGGCTGGTTTAATTAGTATGTTTGTAAACGATACAAAGATTGGTGGAGTTGCAGACAGTGAAGACGATTGTCAGAGGATACAGCAGGATATAGTTCCATTGGAGGCATGAGCTGAAAAATGGTGAATAGAGTTTAATCTGGACAAATGTGATGTGATGCATTTTGGAAGGTCACGTACAGTTGGAAATTATACAGTGAATGGGAGAACCCTTAGGAGTATTGACAGGCAGAGGAATCTGGGTATGCAGGTCCACAGATCACTGAAGGTGGCAGCGCAGGTAGATAAAGTCGTAAAAACGGCATATGGCATGCTTGCCTTAATTGGAAGGGGCATTGAGTATAAGGATATACATGTTATGCCGCAGCTTTTTAGAACTTTAGTTAAGCCAAACTGGAATATTGCACACAGTTCTGCTCACCACACTACCAGAAGGATGTGGATGCTTTGAAAGCATACAGAAAAGTTTTACCAGGATATTGCCTGGTATGGGGGATTTTAGCTATGAAGGAAGGATAGACTGGATTTGTTTTCATTGGAATGCAGGAGGTTGAGGGGTGATCTGATAGAGGTTTATAGGATTGTGAATGGCATGGATAGAGTGGAAAGTATGAGACTTTTTCTCAGGGTGGAGGGTCAATTACTAGGGGACACAGGTTCAATTTGCAGGGGTGGGGGGGGTATTTAAAAGAGATGTGCGAGGCAAGTTTTTCACACAAACGGTGGTGAGTGCGTGGAACACATTGCCAGAGGAGGTGGTGGAAACAGACACAATAGCAGCATTTAAGAAACACCCGGAGGAATACATGAATAGGAAGGAAGAGGAATACTGATCCTGTAAGTGAAGACAGTTGTCTGTAGAAGAGCAAAACGCCCAGGCTTGGAGGGCCAAAGGACCTGTTCCTGTGCAGAATTATTCTGTGTTCTTCTTTGTTCTTAATGAATAGTAGGCCCCTGGGGAGTACTAAGGAACAAAGGGACCTTGATGTTCAAGTCCATAGATCCCAGAAGGTGTCGGCACAGGTAGACAGGATGGTGAAGGAGGCTTGCAGGATGATTGCCTTCGTTAGCCGGGATGTAAAATATAGGAGCAAGGAATTCTTGTTACAACTTTATAAAACATTGGTTAGGCCACAGGTGGAATACCGTGTGCAGTTCTGGTCGTCACACAATTGAATGATGTGATTGCACTGGAGGGGGTGCACAGGAGATTCACCAGGATGTCGCCTGAAATGAAAAGTCTCAGCTATGAGGAGAGACTGGATAGGTTGGGTTTGTTTTCCTTGGAGCAGAGGAGGCTGATAAGCATCTGATTGAGGTATACAAAACTCTGAGAGGTTTAGACAAAGTCGATTGAGAGAATCTCTTCCCCAAACCAGATGTGTCTAAGACCAGGAGGTATAAGTTTAAGGTGAGGAGTAAGTGGTTTAGAGAAGATTGGAGGAAAGATTTTTTTCACCCAGATGGTGGTAGATATATAGAATGTGCTACTGAGAGGATGATAGAAGCAAGTACCCTCGCAATATTTAAGAATTATTCAGATGAGCACTTAAAAGGCTGAGGCATAAGAGGCTACAGACCAAATGCAAGTAAATGGGATTAGGGTAGTTTGGTGTTTGTTGGTTGACTGAAGGGCTGAAGGGCCTCTTTCCGTGCTATATGACTCTCTATTTGCACATACGTCAGTAACCTTTCAACATTCATATGCGTTTGTATAACCATCAGTACAGCTTTCTCCTGCTGCACTAATGTAACATTTCAATTTCCCATGGGAACCATCCTCATGACCTTTCCAAGAAATGTAGTGTCAAGTACAACTGCCCAAAGTCATTTCATTTAAGGCTATTGCTAACTAGGGGGATGTAGGGAAGTTTCAGCCTAGCAGTCAAAAGCTAAAATCGAAGCTAGATATAAAAGAACAATGTGCTGAAACAATTTTAATGGGAACATGTGTACAAATATGGCACAAGTAGATTTTTCAACCATGACTTGTATAAATACTTTGGTTTGTGCAGTGAGAGCATTTAAATTCATGCCTGTGATTCCCCACAGGGCGAGTTTCAGGTCATGAATGTGATTTTTCATTCTCCCTCTTGAGACTAACCTAACTCACTTGTGGAAATCCAAATCATATTTGATTTGTGCTGCATCCTATGCATATTTGTACCGAACAGAACTTCAACACCAGCAACAGGACACCAAATGGGAAAGAGTAACCTGCTTCTTAGTCGCCAGCTCTGCTTCTATTTCTGTCAGTAGGTGGTGAATTCTGCTCCACAGTCATACTAGGAACCAACTGGAAGAGAGCAAAGAACATTACTGTGAATACTTGACTGCCTTAAACAATTTATACTTGTAATGCCTCTTCAAGTACCTTCTGTTTTAAACTTAAAACCACTCTGTGTCCTGATTTCCATGAAGGATTTGATTAATGATTTCATTGACATCTTGTATGAATGGTCATTCTGGTGACTGTGAGTTTGGGACACTAAGTGGAATCCAGCTTTTGGGTTGTGAAATTCTCACAGCCTTATCAGGCAACGATCACGTGGCAGAGGTTCAGGATTATAAGGACCTGAACCAGTGGAGCTGATCCAGTTTTTATTGATTAAACAAAATCGTCAACGGAAAGCGTGGGCAATGATATTTACGCAGAAAGTGCATTGTCGAGAGACCTCAGACAACCATGCAACATTGAATTCCCACAGGCTTTCCCCACTTTAATAGAAGAACCTGATTTAATTGTTTTGAATGCTGTTCCCAGGCTGGTAACATGAGTTACGTGGATTTAGAGACTGGGTGGCCGTTGGGAAGACGAGGCCAGTTCAGCCCAAGGAGCAGAGAGGAATCAGGCATCGAGCTAGCTGTTTATCCCTTCTCCAGCTTTCAGGTTTCCTGACCCTGGCAAACAGGCATCAAAACAAAGTTAAAATAGCAACCACTCAGCCACAATTAAATATCAACACCCACCCGACAACACAAAAGTTCAGCACTCATTGCTCAACATAACTCTGTCAGTACCAATACTGTATTGGAGTCAGGTTGGGGTGGGGTTCCTTAGTGTTGACATTTTAACCTCTTTCGTCTGACCTGGTGGGGTTAACATTTCCCCGATGATGTTTCAAATTTTAAGAAGTTTAGGTGACGCCTATGTAAAATAACTCCCGAATTTAAATATTGAGCATTGATTTAAAAAGCCAAAATGGAGCTTTTGTGAGCCTAAAGAAAGGAAAGGTTTTTTATCCCCAGTGGATTGGAAAACTGCTGATGTAATATCTTTATTCCAAAAGGGAAGGACTCAAAAATAAACAGTAGCTATCGGCTTATGGGCTTAATATTGTCTTAATATCTGTCTTTGGGAAAATGTGAATCTGTTTTAAAGGATGTATTACCACGGCATTTAGAAATGCGTAATATAATCAAGCAGAATTGGCGTGGCTTCATGAAAGGAAAATTATGCCTGATAAATTTAATAGAATTTGTGAATAGAATTCTTTGAGGTCGTAACAAGGAAGGGAGATAAAGGAGTACAAGTAGATGGATTTAGATTTCCAAAAGACATTCAATAAGTACTGCATTTTAAATTACTGAATAAGAGCCCCTAGTGTTCGGGATTGAATGTTAGCATGGATAAAGGATTGTGTAATTAGTGGAAGTTGGAATATGGAGGATATTTTCAGAATGGAAAACTGTAACTTGTGGGTTGCCACAGGGATCAGTACCAGGTCCCCAGTTATGTGCAAAATTTGTGAATGAATTGGATGACAAGTGTATGTACAGTCAC